ACATAGATCCAAGGTATTTAGGGTTGCATGTACACTTAGGAGTGTTAGAATGCGCAAAACCCATCACAACCAAGTACGCCCAACGTACTCGACAAGCCCTTAACCATTCTAACTTACGAAGGCCATAACTTCTTCGTTATAACTTCGATTTTGATGATCCTTATATTCACGGAAAGGTAACGAGAAGCTCTATACTCATTTAAATTCCCCTTCACCTTAAAACCTTCTGAACTTAAATCCTAAATTCATGAAAGGCCCGAACCATCGCCTTTTTACCATTATACCCTTGGGCTCCAAAGCACAAACCGAACTCTTAGGTCACATAATCTACATTACCCTCAACCAAAAAGGGTAATCCTCTATTTTCCTAAATCCCGAAGCCTTATGATAATTGATCTTCAGGTCACGACCCCGAATTATGAAACGACTTGGAACATGGTGTTACACTAGACCTATAAGATATAATGATCTTGGGACTTAGATAAATCATAAAGTTGCAAACTTTATCTCTTAGCTTCACTCGAAATCCACCAAAGGGTTCTAACATGCAAAATAACCTTAGATTCACCAAGAAGAAATTAAAATATTAGATCAAGAAACCTTATAAATGGTTTAGCAAGGTGCTTTCAAAGATTGGGGAGTGTAGCTTGCTGACTTCTTGCTCCAAACCTTCCTCTACTTCCTTCAAAATGCACCGAAACACCAAAAAGAGCTTAAGAATCACCCATAGGAACTCAAAGATCACCAAAAGGAATTAGGGGTTAGGATTATGAGGTTTGAGAGTGATGGATGCTGAGGGTAAACAAGCCTTAGCCCATATTTCCCTTTAAATAGTTGAGAATTAGGGTTTTCTCATCAGATGGTCGCCACGTCGTGGCCAACATGTTGCCACGCCGTGGGAACCAACTTAATACCCGCAAACATTCCAGATATGCCACACCGTGGCAACTCAGACTCAACAATTTAAATTACATAAATAAAATAAAAATACCTCAAGGAATCCGAATGTTACAAGTGTGATGAAGAAATAAGGGATGAAGCCTATTTGACATGGGAGAATCTTGGAGTAGTTGTTTCAAACTCGAATGGAAATGTTGACAAAGATGGATGAAAACTTATACTTACCAATGCCAATGGTTATGCTAAACCAACATAAATTATTGTCATCAAGGTTTTGTCTAAGACTTTACAGTGATGGGGCAAAAATGAGGCCAATTAATCTTTTAAGATATTCTTTGTGTTCAAACACAGGGCGGTTGTCTTCAAACACAAGACATACTGGACGAGTTTTAATAAATGCTCGTAACATAAGACACCGTCTCCGTCCACCAACCAACAACCACCGATTTACCTCGCTAGGGAATCCCACTACTCACCAGAGAAAAAGCCTTTTATCTCGTATTTGCACCATCAGTGGACTGATGACGCAATTTTTTGGTTATAAAGATGCAAAAGTTAGGTTGTTGCTCCATCGATGGAGTAGCTTTTGCTTTAAGAGACGAGATTATGATGGAGATGATGAAATTTAGAGATAATAATAAATTATAGCTTATATATAATGAATTCTACTTGAAATACAGTGAAATGGTGATAGGTTTGTTCTTTATGTATGTGTCATTGTGGAGAGAGAGAGAGAGAGAGAGAGAGAGAGAGAGAGAGAGAGAGAGAGAGAGAGAGAGAGAGAGAGAGCACTTTCTATATTTAATTATGATAAAATAGTTAAAAAAAAGGAAAAATAAATATATTAAAGGCATAATAGTCATTTTATTTTTGGAAGGGACCAAATCCAAAATAAAAAATATACTCAAAACTAAAATTTAGGAAAATAAAACTGCAAACTGTAGGGATTTATCTGAAAATAACAAACATGCAAACGTTTCTCTTCTTTTGGGTCTTAAACATCTATTACAAGTTTACAACAACTCCAAAGGTCTCATTTGGAAGTTAAATAGGGGTTTAAATTGTAAACGCTGTTAAAAGCCGGATAGGATTTCACTTTCCTTCAACGAAACAGAACTCCATAAAGAAAGCAAGGAAACGAAGAAGACGCTCCCGCGGGTCCACCGGTTTTCCCGGTCACCATAACCCACCTACTCCACACAATACTGTACCCCCGCCACCATCTCCGCCGTCTGCCGCCTCTTAACTTTCCCTTCAAACTCTACTCCGACCATTTCCCGACCAAAATTTAACAAGAAAATGGTAAGAAAATTCTCAAAACGTACAAAACTTACGCTCATTTAACAGTAGAAACCGATTTATTTCATCATTCAAATCAGTGATTGGGTTTCCATTTTCTCGAGCGATTTCTTCTTCTTCTTTTTTCTTTTTAGTTTTTGGTAAAGTTGGAAAAACTATATACGGTTGCTTCGGAATTTTGTCTCTAGTTTCACCTTTCTACTGTGGTGTTTCTGTTTTTGAGATCTTATGTGAAGATGAAGGTATTTCTGTCTTACCTTTTTAGGGCATGAGGTTTTAACCAAAGAGTAACGTCTAGAACATTCCACATTAATTTAATAATTTCATATCTGGGATATGTCAGGGAGGCGATTGTATTGGAAAATCTTTGAAAATTTTATTTTCTTGATTTCTAATACCATATCTGTGTAGAATTTGTTGTTATCGTTTCTTTATAAATACCCATGATTTGCATACATTTCATTGATCTTCCAAACCCCATATACATATTTCTGGTGAGCTATTCTTGTAGTTTGTATTCTTTATTCTAATTAAACAATACAGCTGTTCATTCCTTGATTTTACTTTTAAAAGTTTGATTTGTTTTGCCAAATGCCATGATAGAATTCTCTTTCTAATCGGGGTACAGATGCAGGGAATAACAACTATATAAGATAAAAAAATTATATAGCATTTTTTTTAGATTAAGACCCTTTAAAGTTTATGATTCTAATTCGATTATGATTTATGAACTCAGATTGTTTTCTACGATTCTTGAAGAAGCATGTCGATCAGTTAACCTTCAAAACTCCATCTGCTTCCCTGTTCGAAGATATGAATGATTCAATAAAAATTATCCGACCCGATTCATCTTTCTCCAATTTGCTCGAGCTAGCCGCTAATAATGACGTAGACGGATTTAAGCAATCAATCACTCGTATTCCTTCCGCCATTAACGAAGTGGGATTCTGGTATGGGCGTCAAAGAAGCTCAAAACGTATGTTAATGGAGCACAGAACTCCATTGATGATCGCTGCAACTTATGGTAGTCTTGATGTTGTAAAGTTAATACTTTCTTTTACAGAGGTCGATGTAAATAGTTCTTGTGGCCTCGATAAAACAACCGCTCTTCACTGTGCTGTTTCCGGTGGTTCTTCTAACGCTTTTGACGTCATCAAGATTTTGTTAATTTCCGGCGCCGACCCTGAATTAGTCGACGCCGATGGTCGTCGTCCTGTTGACGTTCTTCTCGTTCCTCCAAATCTACCAAACCTGAAGATTTCACTTGAAAAATTGCTTAAAAATGATGGATTTTGTGTTGAACAAGAAGATGATTTGACTTGTTTCAAATCAAATGAGAAAAAGGAATACCCAATTGACCCGTTTTTTCCTGATTTAAAAAGCGATGCTTATTCAACCGACGAGTTTCGAATGTTTGCGTTCAAGATTCGGCCATGTTCACGAGCTTATTCGCATGATTGGACTGAATGCCCGTTTATTCATCCGGGTGAAAGTGCAAGAAGACGTGACCCGAGAAAAATCCATTACAGCTGTGTTCCATGCCCTGATTTCAAGAAAGGACAGTGTCGACGTGGCGATCTCTGTGAGTTCGCTCATGGAGTTTTTGAATGCTGGCTTCACCCTGCTCAATACAGAACTCGTCTCTGTAAAGATGGAACCTTTTGTGCTCGAAGGGTCTGTTTTTTTGCTCATACGCCTGAAGAACTCCGTCCGCTGTATGTTTCTACAGGTTCCGCCATGCCCTCACCACGAAGTTCTCCGGCTGCCGCCTCCACCATGTCACCGCCGTTTTCTCCACCACCTATGTTGCAGCTGCACGGTGGCAATCTTCAGGCAAGCCGACTGAGATTGTCATTTAACGCTAGAGATGTTCACGCGGAGGAGCTTAAGCTGCTTCTTGACCTTGAAATGCATCAGCGGCAGCAGGCGGCGGTGAACCTTTTCTCGCCGGTGAACACGTTTTCGCCAAAGGGTTATGAGTATTGGGGTTCGCCTAGGGGAATGGAGCAACAGCAACCTCACTTGCCCCCTTTTAGCCCACAGTTTTCGAAATGGGATTATGCGAAAAAGGTGGACTGGTCGGTGAACGGAGGTGAACAAGCTCCGGCGAGAAGGTTGCAGGTCACTGAGCCTGATGTTTCATGGGTCCAGTCTCTGGTGAAGGAACCACCACCGCCGGTTGCTGCGGTGGAACCACCGGAGACTGAAAAGAACGATCATACAGCTTTGGGAGCATGGCTTGAAAACATGCAGCTTGATCAGATTGTTGCCTAGCATGCATCGGTCAAAGTCAAACTGGAGCAAGCCAAGGAGTGAAAGGTAATTTCATTTATCTATTTATTATTAACTTTTTTGTTGTTCCACATGAAAAAAAAAAAAAAAAAATCAAGAGTTTGGAAATTCTTTTCTCAAAGATTTGACTTTTGCTTTCAAAGACCCAAGATTTCATGGAATTCAGTTGAATTCTTTGTATTGTTACACATATTTTTAAACATAAACATAAATACAAATTGATCGTCTTTTAAGTTTACACTTTGTTTCGTTGCACTTCGTTTCGTTGTCAAAGGGCATGTATGTAGTGAACTAATTTTTCAATGAAATAATTGTACTTTGTGCCTTATAACATATATAATAGACGATTAATGTTGGAATTCATTGTATTTTATCTTGTTTATCGGGATCTATTTTTTATAGTTCTACTAAAGTGGCGTCGTTTTCGTGATGGTAGGATAGGGTTGATGATGTGTTCCATTTGGTTAAAAGAAAAGAAATTATTGTTGGGACAGAAAGTGATTGAATTTGGTAGTTTGGTTGTTTTTGATGATGTACAATCACAAATCAACAGATCAACATCAATCTTCCAATACCTTCATATCTCGTAATTTAATATTCTTACTTTTAATTTATTGGCATTATTTTTGTCACAAATAAAGAATTGAAAAACTTTAGCATCTAAATAGTTAACCTACATTATAAATATAACTTAAAATAAATAGCACATTATTATTCCTTTAATTTTGACTTCAAATTAAATAACATCGTTCAATAGTTAATTTTTTCTATAGTTTTTTTTTTTAATTTTTTTTAATTTTTAATTAATTTAACTAATTTATCCCAACTATTAAAATATTTTATAAAACCCCCTCATATATATATATATATATATATATATATATATATATTAAAATTTACTATAAGTATTAATGTATTTGCTATGATTTGTATTAAAATTAATTATGATTTGTAATATATGTGTATTATATTTGTCATGTATGATATTTAATAGAATAACTAAATATAAGAAAAATAAAATATATTCCAAAATTTTAATATAATTGAAAGGGTGATATGACATTATTAAAGACAAAGGTTAGATATTCAAACCAACATAATATATTGATCATTCAATATAAAAAAAACAAAAAAAACTAAATAAATTATACACTCCAATGGGTTGATCACTTATTAAAAAAAATAGTAATAAGTCATAAAAAATGCACTAAAAAAACTAAATAACTTATACACTCTAATGAGTTGAGCGCTTATTAAAAAAATAGTAATAAGTTATAAAAAAATACAGTCATGAATGACACAATTTTGGATAAACAATGTTGAGCATTTTTAGTTATATTTCTTTATCTTGCGTTAAACAATTTAAATTAAAAAATATATATAGGTAAAAAGAAAATGACAAATGGGTCGATATCGTTCAAAGTGTATTTTGAATTTATAATACCTTCATATGTTTTATTATGATAATATAAAATTTATAATTACATTTGACTTATTAATTTATAATAAAGTTTTGAATAAAAAGTATTTTAGGTCAATCCATTAAGCTTTACAAAATATTATCCTCTTTGGTAAAACTAATTGATAAATTTAAAACAACGTACTTCACTTTCGTGCATGAACTATAAGTTATTATTCGTTATTTTACTGGTCTTGGAAGGATTTGCCTTTATTTATAATTATTTCTTATTTCAGTCTTATCTCATTTATCTTTTAATATGTGTATAAAAGAAGTATTAAAATATTAAGTTTTGTGCTGCATACTGCTTTATTATTATATAGTGCAATTTGTTTGCTTTTGTATAATGGGAATCTGGTTGATGAGGTGGATGCCAAAACAAGAGTTGGTGGGATTATTTTGGAGATGTCTTTGGTTTTGTGTCTTTATCAGCTTTATTTATTGAGAACAATATATCGTACTTTTTTTTCTCTCTTCGAAGAAATATGAAATGCATATTGACAAGGCCACAAAGCTGTATACTATATAGATTAACATAATAAATTTAAAATAATGGTAAGCAATGCGTGAGTTGATAATTTACACGTAATCTGTGACCTAATTTTGTGGGTTGTTCATAAATTACATTTGTAAGAAATATATTTATCTTAGGTTATGATATCTTATTGAATGTGAGAGGTGATGGCAGCCTTGATGCATCATGGTGCCTACTTTTCATGCTCTCACTATTTTATATAAAAGTTAACACCGCAAAACAAAAAATACTAATCATATATAACCACGCACGCTATCAAAACTATGTTGAATTTAAAGTATAAAAGTTTTGAAAATATATGTTTGTAACATCTGTTATTTGAGGCTAAGATATTTGACATGTAAGTATGAAGATGCCATCAAAGGATGTTCATTTGTGACCTTGAATTGTGTAACCGGAGGTTACTGAATCACTAAGGAAACCTTCCAAAACAAAGAACTAAGGCATATGTAAGTTGAAGTACGTTGCTATTTTAGCGTGTTGCATGTATCTAAGTGTTGGAAAGTGTTGGGTATATCTAAGGTAGTGTTTGTTTTTTGTTTGCAGATCTGCGTGACCTCTTCTGTCTGCGCCGCGCAGACCACGCGCAGACATTAGCCTTTGCAGACTGTTTGTTTTTTTGAAGACTGCAGACCTAAAAATGTCTGCGCGCCCTCTTCTTGGCGCAGATGTGGACCAGAGTCTTCTAACATCTTCCGACCTCTTCTAGCCTAAAAAAACATATATATCTTTATTTTTAAATTTTTTTTTTAATTTAAATTTTTTCCAACTTTATTAATGATAAACAATTTGAAAAAAAAAATTACAAAACTTAAAAAAAACGTTCGACAATA